ATTACTGTAATTATTATCATTAAATATTGAGAACACTGTAGATGAGCTCTGCTGATTGTGTTCATATGCCAGTGTGTGTCTGAAGCGCTTACAGGTGAACATCAGCCCTAACCCTAACCCTAACCCTATACTGTTTTTAAATTATTCCTTAATTGTTCAAATAAAGTGGTTAATGACAGAAAAGCTGTGCAAACACGCAAACACACACACACACACACACACACACACACACACACACACACACACACACACACACATATATATATATATAATGTGTTCATTTCTTTATGTGTGTGCTGAATGTATATTTGAGTCATAATCTTAAGTCAAAACTGAGTGAAAATCTGGGTTTACATGTGTAACTTAATTATCCAAAATAATGTTCATTAACTCAAACACAAACAGCATCAAACACACACACACACACACACACACACACACACACACATACACTGCTGGATTGTGTTTGTCTGACGGGCGTGTCACTGCGCATGTGCTCAGTCTTCATTCAATAATTTAGTCATTAATTGTTCCGTCAGTTTCAGAAGCTCATGTCTGCTCATAACCGTGTCTCTCTGTGTGTGTGTGTGTATTTAATGTGTGTTTAGAAACTTTGCTGTGTGTGTGTGTGTGTGTGTGCTTTCCGCGTCTCCTCACCTGCTCGCGCCAGTCATTCTCGGTAATTTGTGGCTTCCGGTCGCTCAGGACCGGATTACTCCACTCTTCAGGAAATCTGGGAATCGCGGCGCTTTTCCATGAAGCGCAGTTTTCCTGGAGCGCTCCGCGAACGCGTCCAGTGACCGACGCTGTAAACTACACATGGCAGACACTAGTTAACCATATTAAAGCACACTCTCCTGAATGATGTTCGTGTTTATTACACACACGTCTCTAGATTAACTTGACTATTATTCATCTGGAGATGGTGAAGTGGAGAGAGTATCCCCCCGCGCGCTGGAATAAATGGTTCCGGCGCACCGCTCCTTATTTGGGCATGTTACTCAAAAGCGCGCTAACGGTCAGTCAGTCAGAGACTATCGCTGAGGCAGATTACGGTGAATCACGGATACGGTAAATATTTTAATAATAGTGATGATAATAAGTGTTTTAGTAATGTTGTCATGTGACTATTAGTCAAACAGCAGATTAGACAGTGGCTTTTGTACCAGTTCAGCTTCTCTAATTTATCATCAGTCATAATGCAGCCTTAACACATGATGGGTTTAACCCTCATCAGCATCTTAAATCCTTCAAAGTTATTAATATTTAGATATTTAAACATTTATATGCATTTATGTGTGTATTATATCATTTCTGCATCTAATTAAAGAAAGAGAAATGTGTAAGGCGTTTCTAACAGTGTGGACAGTGACTCTGACAGGATGGTTCTCTTCTGTCCGCCATTATCAGTCTCACACTAACGTTACTGTTCTCCTCAGTAATGAAAAGTTTTGATATCGTTATCCTGGCGTTTTTCTGTTAATATTCCAGCAAATAGGACTGTAAAATAATGATGATAATGACACTCTCCCATTCACTGCGCTCTGAGTTGATCAACTATGACCACTTGTGCTGTGGAGAAACACGGAGGTGTGGAAAGGCTCCATGATGACCGAAAGCACGATGGCTGCGATCAATTAGGCTTTAAAATTACATTTTCATTTAGAATTCATTAATAAGCTGAAACTGTTAAAAATATCTAGATAATAATAAGTTAAGCGGTGAATGTTGAAGAAGACCACTGTAAATTACTGTGATATAATAACTGCACAGGTAAAATGAACATTTCGCAGCAGTTTATTCTGCATTTCTGAAAGCGTGATGTTATGAACACTGAAACATGTAAAGCAGCTGCTCATATTGAGCTCATCAGCTGCTGAAGATGCTCAGTGAACAGATATAAAAAGCAAATCTTCTATTAATATCAAATCACAGCAGACACTGAGCTTCCATAATTTTATTAACAAAATAGCTGAATATGGGTACATATAATAAGGTTATATATATCTGTATCTATATAGGAAATCTTTATTACAGAGTAAAAGATGCGAGTGCACTGTATTCTAGAGATTTATCAGTTTGCTATAATAGAACGATTATAATGTAAATTACATTAAGTATATTCAAATGGAAATATAGATTATTATTTACATATTACTGAAACATTCAGAAACTTGAAATGAGTTGCGTTTTCCATCACCAGGAAGGGTTCAGCGCTGCGTGTCGTAATGTTCGTGGTCTGGATCAGGAGCGACTCTCTTTCTGTTTCTGCTTTACGAAGACCAGAGCCGGCGGACACTGCAGCTGGTTTCCCATGATGCCGTGCGGCCTGACGCAGAGCGTGTGCTGTCGCAGGCCTTGCAGTTGCGCGGTGACGTCGAACCGCAGGCCGCAGTCATCAGGCAGGACGGACGGAGAGTCTTGCGGCTCCACGAGGATCAGGGAGTCGGTCTGAAGACGAATCCTGGCTTCGGTCGCCGCGTCTGATTGGCTGAGAGACAGTAAAACCAACACTTCATCCCACGTGCTGCATCTGCTGCTGATAAGCCAGCAGAACTCGTCTCTGTCTTCACCTGCAGGAGTCAAACATGGTGGATGACAGTAAGACAGTGTGTGTTCACCGCACAGACATGCACGAAACACACCGCCAGCAGCACTATACAATATAACACAGCCGCCGTCTGCAGGGTTCCCACTCCTACACTGATATTCACTTCAGTTCTGCTTCACTTATCTAGTAGTGCAATATCAGGAGAGTGAAGAGCTGTGTACAGGCCTGCCAGTATATACACATCGTTAACTCACAGAAGAAATAATATTAGCATGTAATAATAATCACACATGTTCAGTGAAGTGTATATAACTCCACATTCACTGAGGAAAAGCTGAACTTCCATCATCTCTAATTAGGCACACATCACACTGAATCAGCCCATCATTCAGTCTATTTATTATTTATGTACATTTATATGAATTCAGTTTAATTTAGTAATAATATTGAAGATATTCAGATGTACGATACAGTTTGTAAAGTAATATTTTCTGTCTTTAGAGATTCACCTTGTTTACCAAACATGTGGATCTACTTGTATTTGCATTGTAAACCTTAGACAGGAGTTTAAAGGTTTTTAGGTTTATTTTTATTTGCTTATTATACTCTCAACATCATTCCACATAAACCTGCAGATTTTGTGCAAAATCCAGCACAGAAATAGCATAACACATTGCAGATTCTGCCAGTCATTATATATGAGTGTCTTTACACTGTACAGGAAGCTTTAATCAATAATAATGTATTTACTAAGTATGAACAATACCGCACAGCACTTCTCAATCACCATTAGGTAATGCACTCTGAGTTAACCTGAACTAACCATGAACAACTATACATTCATTAACTAATGTAACGAGCAGGAATAAATGCTGTTATTGTAAAGGTATTACCTATACTGTAAAGTGTGACCAAAAACAAGCTTAAATAACATTTTCAGGACTTTAATAGTCTATAAGAGAACAAAAAAATGAAATAAGATACTGCTTACTGCTCCTAAATACGTATATTTATATTGTCAGCATTATTAGCCCCCCTTTTATTTCCCCATTTAAAAATTCCCAGATGTTGAACAGATTGAGGAAATGTTCACAGTATGTCTGATAATATCTGTTCTACTGGAGAAAGTCTGATTTGTTTTATTTTGGCTGGAGTAAAAGCAGTTTTTAATAGTGTTAAAGTCAATATTATTAGCCCCTTCATCTATATATTTCTTCAATAGTCTACAGAACAAACGACTGTTATACAATGACTTGCCTAGTTACCCTAACTTTACCCTGATTAACCTGCTTAAGCCTTTAAATGTCACTTTAAGCTGAATAGACTTTAAGCTGTCATCATGATGAAGAGGAAATAAATCAGTTATTAGAGATGAGTTATTAACGCTGTTATGATTAGACATGTGTTGGAGTAATCTGCTCTCCACTACACAGAAACTGGGTAAAAAATAAACAGGGGGTGAATAATTCTGACCTCAGCTATATATATTATCCTGACTTAAAAACACTGATACAGAAAATAAACATTGTGATGAACTAACGATTAAAGCGACAAACAGAAACCCCTGATATTCCATCATTTGGACTAAATCTGTAAAAACTCGCTGGTGTTCAGCGTCTGGAGTCGCCTGTTCAGAGTCCTGCTCTCCTCCTCAGCCCCTGCTGCTGCGCCCTTTGGATATTACTCTTCAGTATCAATACACTGATGAAACACACACACACACACACACACACACACACACACACCACAACCCATACACACACATATATATATCCACACACACATATGCATTAACACACACACTCTCTCTCTCTCTCTCTCTCTCTCTCTCTCTCTCTCTCTCTTACCGGGCCGCGAGTCCCTGAAGCGCACCGTGACCCTGCGCTGTGTGTCCAGGATCTGCCGGTACGTGAGCGCGGTGCAGGTCAGCACACACTCCGTCGGGAGGTCCACAGTGCTGGGCATTTCAGCAATGAGCTCGTCCTTGTCCAAACACTCCCGGCTGCTGTCCTGAGCAAACACACACACCAGCAGCGCCAGCAGCGGTGCCCAGCGCACACAGGGCAAACACACACACACCATGCTGTCGGTCGCTGCTGTTGTCTGATTAATGTCGAGGCTCAGCGGAGCCCATCAGCTCTAAGGGTCACACACACACACTCGCACAGAAAGAGAGAGGCTTTACTGAGTGCGCAACAGCCTTGGAGGAACACACACACACACACACACACACACACACACACTGGCAGACACTGTGTGCCAACAAACTCCCAAAATAATCGGCTCATGTCAGGAATGCTCTGCATGTAACCTGCGGCCACACACACACACGCACACACACACACACACGCACACACACACCATTACCCAATGAGGAATGAGTTCATGCAGGTTCATGCTGATAAATCTCCCTGCAGAAGCTGCCAAAAAATCACACACACACTCACAAAGACACACTCACAAACACAATCACACACAGTCACACACACACACACACACACACATACACACACACACACACACACACGCAGACACACACACACACACACACTCGTGACAGCAGGAGTGACCTGTGAGCTGGAATAAGCAGTCGCGTGTCTTCATGATAGCTTGTTTAATGAAGCGGTCTGCAGGTACACTGAGATCAAGCAAACACCTTGTTATTTTCTGGCTGAACATGGAAACATTAGCTCTGACATGACATGATGCAGGGGTGTGTAGTACAGTTGTGTAAATGGAAACACACACACACACACACACACACAGATTAAACAGAGGCCAGTGATGCTGAACTACGGCTAGTTTGTGTTGGAAAGTTCCCATCATGCCTCTGCTCCACCGGCGGCCACAGACACGCTAGCGGCTAACGCTCACATTGAGGAATGAGGACAGCTCTCGCAGAGGGATATTTGAGACGCAGCCCAGGATGGCTTTGGTGGAGTTCTGGCAGAGCGGATCCATAACATGTTTTCGCGGAGCGGCGCTGAAGCTCTGCCAGAGCCAAACCCGCAGCTAAAACAGGTCTGGCCTTGAGCGGATCGCTAACAGAAGCTCCATTGTGTATTTCTGTGAAAGAGGAGTTGGAGAAAAACAGGCCAGACTGAGCGCTCGGCCTTCTGGGAACTGAACATGTTTCCACCATACTTAAAGTCCACAGGAGCCTGAGCTCCGAACAGCAGCAAAAATGAAGACTACATGTGTGTGTGTGTGTGTGTGTGCTACAGCAGTGTTTCTCTACGCTGTGTGTGTGTGTGTGTGTGTGAGTGTGTTATGTGTGTGTTTGATCACGGAGGGCTCATGGCTGCGGGGTCGAGTGTGTCCTCCGCTAGGTCGCAGCCACAGTCGCGGGGCAGCCTCACCGTAGACAGAACCAGACCGCTCGCGTCCATGTAGACGAACGGCACGATGTGGTGCGCGGTGGGTTTGCAGCACTGCGGAGAGAGCGCAGGCAGTCAGACTCTGTCAGATACACACACACACACACCTAGATATTCTGGAGCAACCGTACCTGCACAGACGTGCCGGAGCCGCAGGACACGCACTGGACGAAGGCCACGCTCTCCGGGAGAACCACCCAGCCGTCCCAGCCCAGATCTGCATGTTCACACAGCACCACATCATCATCATCATCAGCTCAGTGGAAAAACACAGAAGCTGCTGCGCTACTGCTGTCCCTCAGGAGTGTGGAGGTAACCCTCTCTGGTGTGGGACAGAAGCTGCTCCTGCTCTTCCCACATCCACACATTCAGCCCTGCAGGAGCCTCCAGCTGCTCTGCATACACTGCGCCATCACTTCCCAGGCCACACTGCGTCTGTGCATGCAGACGTCTACAGATGCTAGAGCTCATCCTGCAGTCTGTTTATTTTCTTCTGTAACTATCGATTCAGTTTTTATTTTAATGCTAAGGTTCTGTCTGCGTTCTGAATGATCTTGAGATATTGAGCTTTAAAGTTTTTGCTTTCTATGGCAGACAGCATGTGTGCAGCATCAGTTTTAAAAAAAAGTCCTAAAATGTAAACAACTTATAAAAAACATCCCATAATGTAAAGAAGTTGACATTTAACAAGAATGTCACTTAATTTTGACAAAAATGTCAGACAGAACCTTATAATTCTTATAAGATGACCAGTTATATATTGATTTATTATAGAGTTTAGTGTTTTTATTGATAAATATGCAAGTGTTGATATTATTGATGCACAATTGAGTGTATAATGTCATGTTATCTGTTTACTGTAGACATATGAGAGACTTGTTTGTTTACCAAATATAAGTGGACATAACTGTGTTATCTTCATAAAGCCTGAAGAAAAGTTCATTAATGATTTCAGGTTTTTAATAACTCTCAGACACATTCTGTGTAAATCTGCAGGTATATATAAAGGTTTGTGCAGTAATCTGTACACTGTGGGCAGGTTCTGTGGTTCTGGTTGTTCCTCAGGTAAAGCCTCACCTTTCATCAACACCTGAGAGGAGCGTCTGCAGCAGCTGGAGTTTCCAGAGTCCTCCGGCAAGCTGGAGTTACCTGCAGAACAGAGAGGAGCTTTAATGACCCAGAGCTCACCTGCGCAGGTGTGTGTGTGTGTGTGTGTGTGTGTGTGTGTGTGTGTGTGTGTGTGGCGTACCTGGCGGTGAGTGGATGCTGTTTTTCAATGACTCCCGCAGATGCTCCAGCTGGGACAGGGAGTTGCTCGGCTCCTTCGGGAGGTGCAGAGATTTCAGGATGATCTTCTTGATCTCCTGCTCTCTGCTGCAAACACACATTCAGCACCTCAGTCTGAGTGTTCAACACTTCCCCACAAGTGCAGCAATACAGCACATTTAGACCTGCTCAGCTTTCTTTATATCTCAGACAGAGTGAAGGAGTGTGCAGATGTAGAAGAGTGTGCTGTGAGGACTGAGTTTAGAGGAGACCACAGAAAATCAGAATCAGAAGAGCTTTATCAGCAGGTATGTTCACACATACGAGGAGTTAGTGTTAGTGCAGAGCTTCACCAGAATGACAGAGACGAGACAGCAGACAGATAACGAATACATTTAACAAGAGACGTAAAACTATTCAGTCTGTACAGAACAAACATCACTACAGCTGTGTGTGTGTGTGTGTGTGTGTGTGTGTGTGTGTGTGTGTGTGTGTGTGTGTGTGTGTGTGTGTGTGTGTGTGGTCAGGAGTTAAGTGTTGTCTAGGGCCAGACAGAATCTGCGGATGTTTTTTCCTGTTTCTGCTGAGAATTTTGTTAAAAATCTGAATTATTTTGGGAGCATCATAACTAAAATCTTAATATATGAAATAAAAATAACATCTTTTAAACTTTTATTTATGTTTAAAAAGCAAATCTAATTACATCCACTTATTTGGTAAACAAAGCAAGTCTCTCCTATAATATCTCCACTGAAAGACAGAAATATGACGCTGCACTGTACATAAATCAGATGAACATTTTCATATTAGTCAATAATGTTACTGAAATGAATTTTAAAACTGAATAAATATAGATTTACACACATTTACTCGAGTAAATAAACATGATGGGCTGCGTGCAGATTCCGTGTGGGTCTACATATGGGGATGAAATGCATCTCAAACTTGACATAACTGAACACAAGTGTCAAGAAAAGCTGAGATCTGCTGAAAGTGAAGCGCTAACTCATACTGTGAAGCTGTGAGAAACGCTCGGTCTGATGGGAACTCTTCCAAACCCTCTTGATGAGCAGCAGTCTAAACGGTTTAAACACACACACACACACACACACACACTCTTCTTCATCCACTCTATTGGGTTGTGTGTGTTTGACCCAAGCTCAGCTTGAAAGGTCAGCTCTTCAGCTAACCTGTTTAATCTCATGACTCTCTCCTTCAGGGTCACTCGTGTGCCAGCAGAGTTTTCACATTCTGTGCTGTTGCGCAACACCGGGACGAATAAACATCTGTAGGCTCACGGCTCAGGGCAGAACATCGACACAACACACTGAATATATACTGAACACACACGTTTCACACCATTATACGACTCCTACAGCTCTTATCCTGTTCTCTGCTGCTGTTTCCTCATAGTGTAACACCCACACGATGAACACCTGAGGCAGAATGATGTACAGTAGATGGATGCTCTTACCTGTGGCTCTGGTCCTCAGGTGACGGATGGAGCACAAACATCTCCCCCAAAGGGAAGGCCAGCAGCAGCAGGACGAGGCGCAGCAGCATGTCTGTGGATTCAGGAGCGTTCGCTGGAGGAGCTCGGACTGCAGCGGTGGATGTTGTCTGTGGCGGCCTGGGAAAGCTGCGATTTATCTACGCTGGCCAGGCTTGGCCTTGGAATACTTTACACTGTTTTCATGTAGAGCGAACGGATGGTGTTGGAAAGGAGGAGGAGAAAAAAGGTGGAATTGAGGAAAACACAATGAATTCTATCGTGCGGTTACACAGTCGCAAAGACGATAAGCCCAAACCGAAGGAGGATAGGTGACGAAATGAAGGAGTTCACACAGGAATGGCGCAGAAAAAGGAGCCATTCATTAATCGAGGACACGGCACCGCCATCACCTGAGACTCTGAACACCGATCACTCACGTCTAAACTCATGTACATGTGCTGTCAGTCTCGCTGTGAAGGGTCTGATACACCTGATCAGATCAGTCATCTATATGGAGACATCCAGCAATATCTATCATCATCAGCAGACAGAGAGAGAGAGAGCTGGGCTTGATGTATAACGGGGTTTATTCCTGCTAAACAGAACTACAGAAACAAGCTGATCAATGCTCTGCAATATAAAGTCCTTCTGTGGGCTGCGTTTGCCAGTTCTGTGCAGAAGTCAGTTAAACATCCTCATATTTATGAAGGCAGACGCCATCCTAATGAGAAACACACCTCTGAACACACACCTGTCTGAACTAATGAAGGAAGTCAAGCCGAGGCCCTCCACAAACACAGCACTCAAACACTAATCGACCACCGATCAGCCTTAATTACGGTCAAAATACACAACCTTGACCTTACGTGCATGTTGCATCCCCGTGTTGGCGTGGGTTTCCTCCAGGTGCTCCGGTTTCAATTCAATTCAATTCAGCTTTATTTGTATAGCGCTTTTACAATGTAGATTGTGTCAAAGCAGCTTCACATAAATGGTCATAGTAACTGGAACAGTGTGGTTCAGTAACTGGAACAGTGTGGTTCAGTTCAGTTTAGCTCAGTTCAGTGTGATTTAATCATTACTGAGAGTTCAAACACTGAAGAGCCAATTCATCGATGCGTAGCTCTACCAATCCTGAACCATGCGAGGCCCACAGTCCAAACACATGCACTATAGGGGAACTAGGTTGGCTAAATTGTCTGTAGTGTATGAGTGTGTGGGGGTGTTTCCCAGTACTGGGTTGCAGCTGGAAGGGCATCTGCTGTGTAAAACACATGTTGCAATAGTTGGCAGTTCACACCGCTTTGGTGAACTCTGAGCTGGAAGGAAAATGAATGAATGAAATAGTTAATCCTTTAATCTGAACGCCTCAGAAACTCGACACGGTGTCAAACTATCCTCAGAACATGTGCGCACCATGAGAAATGGCTGATAGCTGAACTAATTTGCCTTATTTAAATACTCTACAGCTTAATGCCTGTAATTATTACAGGTACTGTCTGCCGTGTAGTTTTGCCATTTATTCCTATTCATGGTATATTTTATTTGATGATGTAACAGTCGGTGTAAACATAGTTAAAATACTTTGGCAAAACTATAGTAAAATATAATGCCAATACAGGTAATTGAGCTTGAAAACTAGATTCAGACAAACAGAGAAAGAGAGACAGAGAGAGAGAGACAGAGAGAGAGAGAAACAGATAGAGAGACAGAGAGAGAGAGACAGAGAGAGAGAGACAGTAAATCCACTATAGCCGGAGTCTTATCTGTGTGTGTCGCACATATTCATTCAACACGAACCGCTTGATTTCTCTGACTGACAGCACCGCTTTGGGATGATTGTGTGTGTGTGTGTGTGTGTGTGTGTGATTCCTCCTGATCTGCATTCTCTCTGACCTCGGCTGAACGCTGTGTGTTTGTCCTTGAGCTGAACCTCCTCTGCGTCAGGAGGAATCCGGCACCTGCGTGAGAATCTAAAGAAAGACGAGAGGTTATCTGAGGAAATATGCGCTCAGCCCATGGCGGTGTATTTATACGTAGCTCATTTAATCAGCGCTCAGCCGCTTTAAGATTATAATGAGCAGAAGTGAGCAGTTCTGTAATGGTGGCCTGGGTAATGGACAGTTGTGTTGGTGTGTACAGCGCAGCCGATCCTCCAATGGCCTTTACCTGCGGTGAGCTGTCTATTCTGGGCTGAAGCCGAGCCGCAGCATTAACCCTAATCCATGTGTTGTTTTGATGACGGATGAGCTTCCCCTGTGTGTGTGTGTGTGTGTGCGTGTGTGTGTGAATCTGTCAGATCTGCACGTGTGGACGCTCTGTGTCGTCTCCTCATGGGTTTGGGCATCAGCGGTGCGAGACCCTCGGCCTCTTCTGCAGCGGTGTTTCAGCTCCAGGACTCTGCGGTACAGCACAGACACACACTCTCCACCAATAATCCATAATCAATCACTGCTCTTCAGAAACCACGGCTGACCACTTCTGATGTGTGGAGGGAATTATTCGTGTCTGTTTAAACGGGAATGCAGAGGCTTCCAGAATCAGAGGTGTGTGTGAGTTGACATGTGTGAAGCGTGTGTGATGTGTGTGTGAAGTGTGTTTTTACAGCGTGCTGGCGGTGAGATGGGATGTGGACGCTCCAAAGCAGAGCAGCTGCAGGTGAAAGTGTGTGATCGAGGTGTGTGAAGCTCCAGGAGAACCTGCTGTAATTCTGCATTTACTGCACTACACTGAGAGAAACACTGCTCACACACTCTGACTGTCTGTCTGTCTCTCCGTGTCTGTCTGTCTGTCTGTCTCTCCGTGTCTGTCTGTCTGTCTGCAGGGAGCATCTCAGTTCCAGGTAACTCTTCTGTTTCTCTCAGTAATCTTCAGTTGTCAGTGATTGTGAATGATGCACCGCTCTGTTTCTCCTGCTCCTCCTGCTGCAGCGGCTACAGGTCAGACGTGTTTCTGAGAGTCAGTGCGTTTGCTTGTGTGTGTGTGTGTGTGGTGTCTTCTGACCTGAACGTATCTCTGTGTGTGTGTGTGTGTGTTTGTGTGTGTGTAGCGATGCGGGCGGCACTGCTCATTCAGCGCTGGTACCGGCAGTATGTGGCTCGGCTGGAGATGCGGCGCCGCTGCACCTGGAACATCTTCCAGTCCATAGAGTATTCAGGACAGCAGGACCACATCAAGGTGAACACACACAGGTACACACACACACGCACGGCGATGAGGCTCTCGTGGTAGCGGTGGTCATGGGATGGTCTTTTCCTCTGTGTGTTTCTGCAGTTGTATAATTTCTTCAGTTTCCTGATGGAGCACTTCGGCCGCAGTGAGGGAGTGTGTGTGTCTCCGCCGGCCTCTCTGGTGTCGCAGATGTTCGGAGAGAGAAGTGTGTGTCAGGACGAGCCATGGGAGAAACACTGCTGCTATACACACATCCAGCTGCCGGACGGGTACAGCGGCCCACATCTGACCTTCCCACTGACCCTCAGCGGCGTCACGGAGCTGCTGCACGCCTTCAGGAACAAACAGGTGCTCCAGCGCTGTCCTGTGTGTGTGAGTGTGTGTGAGTGTGTGTGTGAGTGTGTTTGACAGCACATCTCTGTATTCAGAAGCTTCACGCACGATACGTTCTGCAACTGCTGGGAAAAACCTGGACACTCCTGCGATTAATGCCCAACATCAGCACCGTCAGCACCGGCACACACACAGAGATCACCATCTGCGGTGAGAACACACACCTCTGCAACACCACCTCCGTCATTCCTCACCGCGGCCACACCACTTCCACCACACCTCACCAACACAACACTGCCTCCAACACACCTCACCTCCGCAACACTGCCTCCACCACACCTCACCAACACAACACTGCCTCTGACACACCTCACCAACACAACACTGCCTCTGACACACCTCACCAACACAACACTGCCTCTGACACACCTCACCTCCGCAACACTGCCTCTGACACACCTCACCAACACAACACTGCCTCCGACACACCTCACCTCCGCAACACTGCCTCTGACACACCTCACCAACACAACACTGCCTCTGACACACCTCACCTCCGCAACACTGCCTCCACCACACCTCACCAACACAACACTGCCTCCGACACACCTCACCTCCGCAACACTGCCTCTGACACACCTCACCAACACAACACTGCCTCCAACACACCTCACCAACACAACACTGCCTCTGACACACCTCACCAACACAACACTGCCTCCAACACACCTCACCAACACAACACTGCCTCCAACACACCTCACCAACACAACACTGCCTCTGACACACCTCACCAACACAACACTGCCTCCAACACACCTCACCAACACAACACTGCCTCTGACACACCTCACCAACACAACACTGCCTCCAACACACCTCACCAACACAACACTGCCTCTGACACACCTCACCAACACAACACTGCCTCTGACACACCTCACCAACACAACACTGCCTCTGACACACCTCACCTCCGCAACACTGCCTCCAACACACCTCACCAACACAACACTGCCTCTGACACACCTCACCAACACAACACTGCCTCTGACACACCTCACCAACACAACACTGCCTCCGACACACCTCACCAACACAACACTGCCTCTGACACACCTCACCTCCGCAACACTGCCTCTGACACACCTCACCTCCGCAACACTGCCTCTGACACACCTCACCAACACAACACTGCCTCTGACACACCTCACCAACACAACACTGCCTCCAACACACCTCACCAACACAACACTGCCTCTGACACACCTCACCAACACAACACTGCCTCTGACACACCTCACCAACACAACACTGCCTCCGACACACCTCACCAACACAACACTGCCTCTGACACACCTCACCAACACAACACTGCCTCTGACACACCTCACCTCCGCAACACTGCCTCTGACACACCTCACCAACACAACACTGCCTCTGACACACCTCACCTCCGCAACACTGCCTCCGACACACCTCACCAACACAACACTGCCTCTGACACACCTCACCAACACAACACTGCCTCTGACACACCTCACCAACACAACACTGCCTCTGACACACCTCACCAACACAACACTGCCTCTGACACACCTCACCTCCGCAACACTGCCTCTGACACACCTCACCAACACAACACTGCCTCCAACACACCTCACCAACACAACACTGCCTCTGACACACCTCACCAACACAACACTGCCTCTGACACACCTCACCAACACAACACTGCCTCTGACACACCTCACCAACACAACACTGCCTCTGACACACCTCACCTCCGCAACACTGCCTCTGACACACCTCACCAACACAACACTGCCTCCAACACACCTCACCAACACAACACTGCCTCTGATACACCTCACCTCCACAACACTGCCTCCGACACACCTCACCAACACAACACTGCCTCTGACACACCTCACCAACACATCACTGCCTCCGACACACCTCACCAACACAACACTGCCTCTGACACAACTCACCAACACAACACTGCCTCTGACACACCTCACCAACACAACACTGCCTCTGACACACCTCACCAACACAACACTGCCTCTGACACACCTCACCTCCGCAACACTGCCTCCGACACACCTCACCAACACATCACTGCCTCCGACACACCTCACCTCTGCAACACCACCTCAGTGACACACCTCACCTCTGCAACACTACCTTAGTGACACCTCACCTCCGCAACACCACCTCAGTGACACACCTCACCAACACAACACTGCCTCTGACACACCTCACCAACACAACACTGCCTCTGACACACCTCACCAACACAACACTGCCTCCAACACACCTCACCAACACAACACTGCCTCTGACACACCTCACCAACACAACACTGCCTCTGACACACCTCACCTCCGCAAGACTGCCTCTGACACACCTCACCAACACAACACTGCCTCTGACACACCTCACCTACGCAACACTGCCTCAGACACACCTCACCTACACAACACTGCCTCTGACACACCTCACCTACACAACACTGCCTCTGACACACCTCACCTACACAACACTGCCTCTGACACACCTCACCAACACAACACTGCCTCTGACACACCTCACCTCCGCAACACTGCCTCCGACACACCTCACCAACACAACACTGCCTCTGACACACCTCACCTCCGCAACACTGCCTCTGACACACCTCACCAACACAACACTGCCTCTGACACACCTCACCTCCGCAACACTGCCTCCGACACACCTCACCAACACAACACTGCCTCTGACACACCTCACCTCCGCAACACTGCCTCTGACACACCTCACCAACACAACACTGCCTCTGACACACCTCACCAACACAACACTGCCTCTGACACACCTCACCTCCGCAACACTGCCTCCAACACACCTCACCAACACAACACTGCCTCTGATACACCTCACCTCCACAACACTGCCTCCGACACACCTCACCAACACAACACTGCCTCTGACACACCTCAACAACACATCACTGCCTCCGACACACCTCACCAACACAACACTGCCTCTGACACAACTCACCAACACAACACTGCCTCTGACACACCTCACCAACACAACACTGCCTCTGACACACCTCACCTCCGCAACACTGCCTCCGACACACCTCACCAACACATCACTGCCTCCGACACACCTCACCTCTGCAACACCACCTCAGTGACACACCTCACCTCTGCAACACTACCTTAGTGACACCTCACCTCCGCAACACCACCTCAGTGACACCTCACCTCCGCAACACCAACTCAGTGACACACCTCACCTCCGCAACACCACCTCAGTGACACCTCACCTCCACAACACCACCTCAGTGACACCTCACCTCCGCAACACCAACTCAGTGACACACCTCACCTCTGCAACACTACCTTAGTGACACCTCACCTCCGCAACACCACCTCAGTGACACCTCACCTCTGCAACACCACCTCAGTGACACACCTCACCTCCGCAACACCAACTCAGTGACACATTACCAGCGCAACACCACCTCAGTTACACCTCACCTCCGCAACACCACCTCAGTCACACATTACCAGCGCAACACCACCTCAGTCACACCACACCCCCACACCATCTCAGTCAGACCTCGCCAACACAACACCTAACTTCCCACACCCGCAACCCCGCTACCACCACACCTCACCTTCGCAACACTGCCTCTGTCACACGTCATCTACGCAACACCTCCACCTCAGTGTTTTATCCTACAGCAGGTGATTATTCCTCTGCTCCTCCTGCAGGAGATCTTCACGGCCATCTGGAGGATCTGCTGTTGATCTTTTATAAAGTCAGTAAAGTTCTGTAGCTCAGGTTTCTCCTTCTGAACGCAACATGACTGATTCCTGCTCTTCTAGAACGGGTTTCCTTCGGCAGAGACCCCGTATGTCTTCAACGGAGACTATGTGGACCGAGGGAAAGAGTCGATGGAGGTGCTGCTGGTGCTGTTTGCGTTCCTGCTGCTGTATCCACATGACATGCACCTGAACCGGGGAAACCACGAGGACCACATCGTTAATCTGAGGTGCAGATATTCTGTAGGACTGGCCAGTTATAGTTCATCGTGTGGCATTAGTGTTCAGATCTGTAGGTCTGTATTTCTGATTGTGTGTTTGTGTTCATGCAGATACGGCTTCACTAAAGAAGTTCTGAGCAAGTATCGGGTGAGTTCAGTGTCCAGCCTAGACCAGCTCAACAGCACAAACACTCGACCTGGCGCTTCTGTTGATCCTGAAGACCTTCTTGGCTCGGTTTAATTAGGCTTAAAGCTAAACTCCAGCAGGAGCAGGATTACAAACGCCTGATTTAAGAGGATTGTACACTATACACTCGTCTGCCCATTCACACACACTACAGCTTCACCACCGCACTAGCAAAGCAAACACCATCATCAAATTCCCCTCGAGGGTTATCTCCGCTCTCAGCAGCGCATTCAGACGCTGTTTTGTGCGTTATTGCAGTCATAGAGGTTTGGTTTGCTGTAAATGTCAGAATTATAAAGGAACTAAAGGTCTACCGGAGACCGAACACCCAGAGTGTCTAAATAAGCCTGAAGTGCACTCAAATAAACCTTAATGAAGCTAATAAATCATCTCGCTGAACCAAAGACACACACATTCTAGAAGTATTCAGCTGTTAATCCCATTTGCCCTAATCCCTGTGTGTTAAGTTAACAGAGAAACACACACACGCATCCGTTTGACACGTTCCAGAGCTCCACCTTCTCCACAGTGCTCCACCTTTCACATGCAGAGCTCATCGAAAGCACTGATAAACGTTAAGGCTGAGGCGATTCCTGCTCCATGCTGGGAACATTATTGACAAGTGCTTTTCTGATATCCAATACAAACTATATGCTGCATGCTGAGGTGTTCACAGCTGCTGCTGGAGACTGTATCTGAAACACCCCTATACCCTTATTAGTGAACTTATTGAGGAAGCAGCCATTTCTAGAGGTTTCTGAAATCAAAATGGACTTTCTGAAATGCACTCAATCCATCCCATAATGCACTGCAATAATGAGTCTATAACCCATGTACACTCAACAGCTAGAAAACCCCCATAATGCACCGAGAGTTTAGACTCTGAATGAATTCCCAGATCTGACCACCTGATGGCCTCTAAAGCGCAATGCTATATCAGTGACTGGTTTAATGACGAATGGTTCTAGAGATCTGACCCGTCTGAGGGATCCATCAACCAGCAGAACAAACACACAACATCTCTTTAGTACCCTCAGCAGTGCTGCAGTTCACTCTCTCAGGTGGACTCTATTTGTGGAATACAGTAGGGAATAGTGAGCGAGGGATTAGGGATTAGCCTCAGTGTCCGGCACACACCTGAAGAAGCAGAGGAAGCTTTCAGGATGAGTTAGGCCGTACTCACACTAGGTACAGTTGCCTCGAACCGGGCCAAAGCACGCTTGTCCCCCCTCCCGTCTCCCCCGACGGCCCGCGCTCACACCATATAGGGCCTCGGCACGCTTACGTCATCGCTGCTGCGCTGTTCAGAAGCGCTCTCTATGGCAAACCTTTTTAGCATTTAAATCTTTGTTCTGACTCCATAAATATATTTAGAGATATCTTTAATTATATTTTGACTAGTCATAATTATAATTCCACTACTCAGAATGACAATTAGAGATATCTGCAATTACAATTGTACTAGTACGAAATCAGATTGGAGATATCTGCAAATATATTATGACTAGTCATATTCCTACATTGACTTCCATTGAAAAATATTTGCAGATATCTCTAAATGAGTTTTGACTCGTCATAATACATTTGGAGATGTCTTTAATTCATCATATTTAGAGATATTTACAAATATATTTGAAGATATCTCTAATTAATTTACTAATAGTCAAATTACAGTTGTAGATATCTTGAATTGGATTTTTGACTAGTCAAAACTCATTTAGAGATACCTGCAAATATTTTTCAATGGAAGTCAATGGATGAATGATTTCGTACTAGTACAATTGTAATTGCAGATATCTCTAATTGTCATTCTGACTAGTCGAATTATAATTATGACTAGCCAAAATATAATTAGAGATATCTCTAAATATATTTATGGATAGTCTGAACAAGGTTTAAATGCTAAAACGGCTTGCCATACGCTCTCACTCAGCAGCACAGTGGAGATTTCTCTAGTTATATCGTTTCAGTCGTTTGATATGCCGTCAAATATTTCGCCAAACAGTCCTTAGGGATGCGGGGACACACAGTCAGATATTTCGCCGAACAGATCCGCCACTTTTGGCACTCATAAACAATCATTAAGCCCTCGTGCTGCAGGAATGAGGAGATCTGCTGAAGGCGCAGCTGGCGTGCTGTGAGGAGTTTGCGTCTTTAATAAGCTACGGCAGTTTGCGTTCACTGAACAGTAAGAATGATTAATAAATCCATATCAAACAGTCCCTTAAAGTCACGTCTCGCTTTCGGTTTCGGGCTTTGGCGCGTTTTGTACTCACACACAAGCGTACCGCGCCAAAGCCCAAGTGTACCGCGCTCAGGCACACCTCTTCCAACCGGGCCAGGGCCGGCCAAGTGAACCGTGCTTGAGCGCGATTCAGCGCACTCACACTTCTCAAACGATCCGGGAAACGGGCCTGGGCACGGTACAGATGGCATAGTGTGAGTAGGCCCTTAAACACAGGAGCAGTGTTCAGTTACTCTCCGAACTGATGCCTAGAACCTGCACCTAAATCCAGATCCACACACACTCACACACACACTCTCTGTGATCGCTCGCAGGTTCATGGGAAACTGATCCTGGAGCTGCTGCAGAAGATCTTCAGCCGGCTCCCGCTGGCCACCATCATCAACCAGAAGGTGCTGATCGTACACGGAGGAATCTCCGACCAGACGGACCTGAACGTGATCAGCAAACTGCAGCGCCACAGGGTACACCAGCTCCAGTGTGTGTGTGTGTGTGTGTGTGTGTGTGTGACTGCTTTACTCGGACATTAATAATAAGATCAGCATTTCAGTCATCACGTCACATCGCATGAGCAGTACCCAACAATACTGCATCATTGACAGTCTCGTGCAGCTCTACTGTGAGTGTGTACACGAGCGTTCAGGTGTGTGTGTGTGAGTCTATCTATCTATTTGTGTGTGTGTGGTGTTCTCCTCAGTTTGTGTCTGCACTGCGGCCCCTGAGGCGACGGGACTGGCCACCGGACCCCGAGCCGGACGAGGACAGCAGTGTGTATCGTCGCCGGGTTCAGTCGCTCACACACTGCTCCCCGCTGCGCCGACACACACCCACACACACCGCCAGACACTCGCTGCACGCCGGAACGGGACGCTGCGTAGAGGAGGAGCTGCGGGAGCGCCGGCGGCTGGCGGAGGATCCAGAGCTGCAGCACACACACACTGATGCAGACGAGTGGAAACAGGTGACACACACACACGCACACACACACACACCCTTAAGGCTGATTTATACTTCTGTGTCAAGCGCACGCGTATGCTACAGCACTGACGCATAGCCCTTCGCCGTGGCCGTTACTGACGTGCACCTCTCAAAAAATGTAACTACACGTCGCAACGAGGCGTAGCGCAAGCTCTGTGATTGGTCGGCTTGGTATCGCTGACGAGTCTGGGCGGGACCGAGAGCCGGGTGAATGGTGCGAGCCCGATGGAGCGATTGTTTACAAGTGTGGAGTCCCGTGAAGGAGCTCCGGATGGAGAGTTTTGTTCTGTGTTTCCCTCATGGTTACAGTTGCTGCACGTCCGCCGGTTCCTGCCTCAAAATGAGCGAGTTTGAGCCACTTGTACATCCAGGAAGTGTTCAGGAAAAGCAAAACAGCAGCGAAGAAACTCGACACAGAGGAACATTTACACCTCACTGCCCACTAGTGCTTCAGAAGTGTTAATGCAGACCAACAGAGACAGCAGCAGCAGTATAAGCACAGCTACACGCGTTACATGCGCCGTGGGTCACGCCGCTCACTTGCTGCAGAAGTATAAACCAGGCCTTACACACACACACACCCTTACACACACACTGTCTGTTTCTCTGTCACAGTAATGTGGGGAAACTCTACTGTGGCAGTACTGTGGTACAGGGATGTGATCAGATGTTGATGTCCTGGTACTGTGGTATCACGGTATTACCATAAAGCCACATAAACATGGCAACACTGCAGCGCCGCTCTCTCTCTGTGTCCGAGATCTGCTGTCGGCCACACTGTAATCTCTGCTGGTGTTAGAACCCGTCTCCACTGAGCCCTACACTACACTACACTACACTACACTATAGTAAACTACAGTAAACTATACTATAGTACAGTAAACTACACTACTGTATACTACACTACACTACAGTAAACTACACTACACTACACTACAGTAAACTACACTACAGTAAACTACACTACACTACTGTATACTACACTACACCACACTATAGTACAGTAAACTACACTACACTATACTACACTACAGTAAACTACATTAAACTATACTATAGTACAGTAAACTACACTACACTACACTACAGTAAACTACACTACACTACACTACAGTAAACTACACTACAGTAAACTACACTACACTACACTACAGTAAACTACACTACACTACACTACAGTAAACTACACTACACTACAGTAAACTACACTACAGTAAACTACACTACACTACACTACAGTAAACTACACTACACTACACTACAGTAAACTACAGTAAACTACAGTAAACTACACTACAGTAAACTACACTACACTACAGTAAACTACACTACAGTAAACTACACTACACTACACTACAGTAAACTACACTACACTACACTACAGTAAACTACACTACACTACAGTAAACTACACTACAGTAAACTACACTACACTACCGTATACTACACTACACCACACTATAGTACAGTAAACTACACTATACTACACTACAGTAAACTACACTACACTATGGTACACTACCGTATACTACACCACACTACAGTAAACTACACTACACTATAGTACACTACAGTAAACTACACTACACTATAGTACACTACCGTATACTACACCACACTACAGTAAACTACACTACACTATAGTACACTACAGTAAACTACACTACACTATAGTACACTACCGTATACTACACCACACTACACTACAGTAAACTACACTACAGTACAGTACACTGTGTTTCATTAACACCTCCCACAGAAAACATGTTTCTGTGCTGATTCTGGGCTTACCTCAGATATATTGGACTGAACTGAACTGCACTGGACTGAACTGCACTGCACTGGACTGAACTGCACTGCACTGGACTCAAGTACACTGGACTGAACTGCACTTTGGCTGAACCACACTGGACACTAGTGCTAGAGTGTGTGTGTGCTCCGCAGATAGTGGACATCCTGTGGAGCGACCCGATGGCCCAGAATGGCTGCGTCCCCAATAAAGTGCGCAGCGGCGGGTGTCTCTGGGGTCCAGACGTCACTCACGCGGTGCTGGACAAACACCAGCTGCAGATGCTGATCCGCTCACACGAGTGCAAACAGGAGGGATACGAGTTCTGCCACAGCGGCCGGGTGACGGAGAGATACACTCACTCATTCCTTCATCCACACACTCCTCTGTTCATCCACTCACTCCTCTGTTCATCCACTCACTCCTCTGTTCATCCACACACTCCTCTGTTCATCCTCCACACACTCCTCTGTTCATCCACACACTCCTCTGTTCATCCACACACTCCTCTGTTCATCCACACTCTCCTCTGTTCATCCACTCACTCCTCTGTTCATCCACACACTCCTCTGTTCATCCACTCTCTCCTCTGTTCATCCACACACTCCTCTGTTCATCCACACTCTCCTCTGTTCATCCACTCACTCCTCTGTTCATCCACTCTCTCCTCTGTTCATCCACACACTCCTCTGTTCATCCACTCACTCCTCTGTTCATCCACACTCTCCTCTGTTCATCCACTCTCTCCTCTGTTCATCCACACACTCCTCTGTTCATCCACTCACTCCTCTGTTCATCCACACTCTCCTCTGTTCATCCACACACTCCTCTGTTTATCCACACACTCTTCTGTTCATCCACTCACTCCTCTGTTCATCCACACACTCCTCTGTTCATCCACACACTCTTCTGTTCATCCACACTCTCTTCTGTTCATCCACACACTCTTCTGTTCATCCACTCACTCCTCTGTTCATCCACACACTCTTCTGTTCATCCACACTCTCCTCTGTTCATCCACACACTCTTCAGGTCATCCACTCACTCCTCTGTTCATCCACACACT